AGAAGAGATGATTCCACCAGGCTGTCAATCATTTGGAAGCCTGCACTCACAAACAAAAAAATCTCCACACCACAAGCCAGGCAAACACCTGGGCACAAACAGATCCCCCCTGATACCTCCAGCTCAAACACACCCCAACCAGGCACCCAGATGAAACCCAGCTTCCTAATTAATGATAGCCGTCCATTTACCCGAAGCCAAGCTGCACTAAAGACCTCCATTAAAGTAACACAATGCTGCCAGCCAATCAAGATACAAAAAGAGCCAAAAAAAAGACAGAAGATATCAGAAACACCCATCAAGCAGAACACAGCAAACTCCGAGACCAATAAACACAGACCAAGACTCCCAACCAATCAGGATGAAGAAAAAACCATTCTGGCACAGCAATAGGCTGCCCCAAATTTAAATCTGAAACCACTGTAAAAGTCTGACCCACAGACGGACACAATACAGAAGCCTGATGATGGCAGATGAGATTCTGCTGAAACGTTGCTACAACTTTAAAAGAACTACAATGACGTGGGAAAATACCCGAACCAAGCCGAACACCATACATGTAAGTACCCGCGAAAACTTAAGAAAACATATATATATATATATATATATTATTGTAAGCCACCCAAAGTAAATAAATTAATACTGGCAAAAGCTATGATACAATTACAGATGGGGAAGATTGCAGATGTTGTAAGATCTGTTGTTAATCAATCAACCTCCACTGGGACTCAAAGCTAACTGATAGAGCCAGGTCTTTAGTTCTTACAAAAGGTCTGGCTGATTGAGGTTATTAACCTGCTGATCTGTTTAATCATTCTCTATATAGAATAGAACTCAGCCTTACTATTTTAATCTGAAATATTTGCTACCATAAATTGTATATGCTGCTTGGGTTTCTCTACACCTCTTGCTTGAAGTAACAGTAGAATTACTTAACAGTTTTATATTGGGATACCTGATGACTGAGTATAGATTTGATGAGGTTCTCTTGTATTCTTGCATTTAAACTCATGTAATATATGTTTGTTTTCAGATTGAGTTCTCCTATCCTTCTCTAATTACTGGAGAAAGTCATGATAGTAATAGTTTGCCAGAGGAATGGAAATACCTGCCTTTTCTTGCATTGCCAGATGGTGCTCACAACTATCAAGAAGGTAACAGCTCACATATGCTCCTTTCCTATAAATGCCTAAAAAATCTTGAATTTGATACTGGGCAAAGAATTTGATGCTCCGTAAAGAATTTGATGCTCTCAACACAGGACCAAATTTTTTTTATATGGTTAGCTGGCAAACAAATCTTTAAAAAATAATACTGTATGTTTTCCAGCCACAAACAAAACTTCCCCCCCTTTTGCTAGACAAAGAAAGGTGATTGTATAAACATTTTAAAATGCCATTTGCAGGTAGAGGAAGAAGTAAGTTTTATAATTCAAGTAATATGAAGTAAAACTGATTTGGCCTTCAGTATTTTCTTTAAAAAATACGTTTACATATCTGGTGTTTATGGTATGAAATGGTTCTGCAAAACAGTATGAATGTGCTTAGGCAAACTGTGTACAAGACTTGCACAATATCAACAATTCCTAAAAAACACAGACCAAAACACCAAAATCAATGCATACTGCGTTTCCCTGAAAATAAGATCGGGTCTTGTTTTCTTTTGGAACCAAATAAGCACTAGGGCTTATTTTTAGGGGCATCTTATTTTGTGGCCACCAGCTTGCTCCTTCCTACCATCTGCTTGCCCTGGCAAGCTGGCTGCAACAGCTTACAAGGCTTCCCAGGGCAAACACACTTTTTGACCAAGAAATGAGAAAGACTCAAAGCTTCATCTGCTTGCAAATGGGACGGTTTGAAATGGAACTAAGCATGTTAGGATTGTCTCCCCACCCCCCACCCCCGTGGGATGCTTTGAAATAGAAAAAATAGCATTTTCAAGCAGATGGACTTCATCTCCCTCTGGGCGAAAAGTGTAGAGCCAGGTAGAGGGAGAAATATGGGTGGGGTGGGGTGGAGGCAGGTGATCCCAATGTGCTTAGCTCTGTTTCAAAGCATCCCATTTGCAAGCAGACGAAGCTTTGTCTCCCTCTGGGTGAAAAGTGTGCAGTGGAGGCAGAGGTAGTGGGGAGGAAGGCAATCCCAACGTGCTTAGTTCTGTTTCAAAGCATCCCATTTGCAAGTAGACAAAGTTTCATCTTGCTCTGGGCAAAAAGTGCATGGCAGAGGCGAGGTGAGACAGGCGATCCAGACATGCTGCATGGCTGCCTGGCTCACAGGAGGCTCATGAGAAGTTTGTGTGGTGGCACCAACAGCAGGCAGAGGCACGGAGGAAGCAGCTGCCCACCCTCTCCCTCCCACCATCTGCTTGCCTGCGGCTGCAACGGCTTACAAGGCTTCCTAGGGCAGACACATTTTTTGCCCAAACGGAGAAATGAGGGAGACTCAAAGCTTCGTCTATTTGCAAATGGGACACAAATGCAAAACAGAGCAATTAGCTCTGTTTCAAAGCATCCCATTTGCAAGCAGATGAAGCTTGGCTCCCTCTGGGAGAAAAGTCACAGGCAGAGAGGCAGGTGATTCCAAAGCACCACCCACTCCATCCCACCATTTCTCGGGTTGCCTGAGGCCGCATCAGGCAGGCACTCCCATAGGACATTGGGATCACCTGTCTCCCCCCTCTTTGCCTCTGCCTGCTGCCAGTGCCACTGTGCAAGTCTCCCGCAAGCCTTCTGTGAGCTAGGCAGCCATTCAGCACATCCAGATTGCCTGTCTCCCTCTGCATTTGCTTCCACCCTTGGACTTATCTGTTCTGTTCCACGGAGCTGGTGGGCTGTGGGTCCTAACCCTTGCACACTCGCTGCCTCTTGTGCTGGTCACACCCATCTGCCGGGTTTATTTTTGTAGTAGGGCTTACATTAGGCCCACTCCTAAAAAATGAAGCCAGGGCTTATTTTCTGGGTGGGTCCTATTTTCAGGGAATCATGGTGGTTACCAATTATTCTACCACTATTGCAATAAGCCATTGATGCATAGTTGTAGTAAAAGAAAAAAAATATGCTTTCAGAACCAATTCCTTTGTTTCATCTCCATATTAGGCTACCATTTACCCTCTTTGCTTAATATATTTTATTAATATTGTGGACTGCATGAAGGACCAGCTTAAAATATAATAAGGAAAATTGGTTTAAAGTTTCCATCTCAACCAGCTGTGAAAGTAGCCAATAGCAGAATATTTCCATAATTCCCAACATCCTATCTACTTAAAAATATGCATTTTCCAATCTGAAGGAAGCAAAGGTGCTTTGGACCAGTCATGGGTACTTTCTGTATCTTAAAATAATTGCATCCTTTCAAGACTTGCACAGTAATTATGTAGACTCTGTGAAATATGCATTTCCTGAGCCTCCTTGGCTACTGTGAAACAGCCCAATTCCTTTAAGAAACTGCTGACAGGGTCAGAGAAGGTGTGCTCAATGGATCTGATGCCCACTTTGTATCCAAATAACATATATATCTCTATTTGTCTTGAAAGGCTGCATAAAGCAAATGAACTAGGAATTTTGCAATATGCTGGAAGAAGGAAAGCAACTGAGACATTTGGATGTATATGAAAACCAGTAGAAAAGCTTTTTATGCAGGACCACAAGCCTTGTAAAAAAAACATAGATACTTTAATGAATCATGTATCATATGTATCTTAAGATTATAGTATCTCAAATTTGGAATTAGAATCTTGAAAGTTTTAAAATGCCAGATTTGATAGTATATGTTTAACATAGTATATGTTTAACATAGTATATGTTAAGGATAGTATATGTTTAACATATACTCTGGTCATATATTTTGTTATTGGTTATCTAAATTGATACGATAGCTAACCCTATCCTAATTTAATATTGATTGGGTTCGTAGGTTACTCTAAATAAGGGGTGTCAAACAATTTCATTGAGGGCTACATCAGGATTGTGTTTGATTTCAGGGGACCAGGGTGGATGTGGCCTGGATGGGCATGGCCAGCTCAACATCACTCATGTCAATGCCTGTGGCAGCCCGAGTGTTCTGCCAGTGAAAACAGGCTCCTGAGCTCTGTTTCCTGCTGCAACAGCCTCCTGCAACCCTTTGCCAGCAAAAACGGAGGTCAGGAGGGCTGCTTGCAGCCCTCCTGAGTTCCATTTTTTCTGGGTGAAACACCACAGGCCAGTCCCTCGCTGTATCCAGGGTGGCCCCACAGGCCAGATCTAAGCACCTTGTGGTCTGGATCCAGCCCATAGACCTTGAGTTTGACATCCCTGCTCTAAACAATTGTAGTTTACAAATCACAATGGCTGGATTCACAAATCATGCTAAATTAAAATCTGCAGACCCTATTAATGGCCTTTGTGATATGTGAAGCTAGTGCATAATTATAATTTAGATAGCAACCTATTAGAAAAAAAGTTGAAACTTTCTACTCTCTTCAGCAGGATAATGAATGAGTAGCCTTAAAGGAATCTGAGTGTCAAAAACATTGGAGGTGCTGAACTTTTGTACATATTGATTCAACCATAAAAAATATTCAAACCAAAGAATTATTTCAGTATGATTAAAATCACAACTTTTTTAAAATAGTAAAACTGCTTGGGCTGTTCAGAATAGTCACATGCATATTTCTAATACCAAACCAAAAGGTTGCATTTTTTCCCTGATTACGATGCATTAATTTGAAATTTGGTCCTTATTATTTGGAAAATTATAGTCCCGAAGAAACTTAATGTCTCAATGTGATACTTATAAGGGATATAAAACGATCTCTTCTCTTCTTTTTTAGACACAGTGTTTTTCCATTTGCCACCAAGAAGTGGAGATCGAAGCACAATATATGGGGTCTCTTGTTATAGGCAAATTGAAGCTAAGGTAATTATTCTGAAGTTAGGTAAACATTTGTACTGAAAATTTATTGAAAATGCATTCTTCAACTTACAACTATGGTGGAGCCTGGAATTTCAATCTAAGTTCCTGTTGCAGGCCTATAGTATGTAACCAGATTCAATTTTACACATGTTTACGATGATTGTAAAGCAAGTCACTATGGCGTTAAACAAATTATATGATCATTAAGCATATCCTAGCATTTTCCAATCCTTTGCCAAAAAATGGTTAAAATGTCATAAATTGTAGTCACCTGTTGAACATTACAGATGGCCATAAATGCAAGCTAGTTGCTATGTAACTGAGATGTGATCATGTGACTATAGGGTGGGAAAGGAGCAGTCATAATTTCAACAGTAAGTCATAAGTAGCTTTTTAAAAAATCTGCTATACCTTCAACCAATTGTTAAAAGACCAGTTGTTAGTTGAGGACTGTATACTGAATACTGGTTTTTATATGTTCATTTGATATTGAACATCTGCATGGTTGTTCAAATGCTAAACCAGTATTTTTGAGAATTCAGTTTATTAGCAATATCTAATCATTTGGGGCTTCCCGCAAACATGTACATACAAACAATTAGAAGATAGGTAAAGGAAGAAACTGCTTGAATTCAAACATTCAACTGCTTGCATTCAAATAGTCTTAGTTTCTAACAAGATAGAAATTAAAGTTAGCTCATAAATCTCATTAAAGATTTATAAATGCATAATGTGTGACAATACTTGTTGTAGCATTGGATGTCCAGCTTCTTTAGCCATATGATCACAAAAATGCTTTTATATTAACATATTCCCTATGAAATAAAAGCCAATGACTTTGATCTATAAGTAGTTTGAATAATGATTACATGTTTCTAGAAATTCTTTAGAAAGTGCAGAAGTAATTTTTTTGCTATTTTATCTTCAGATTTAGATACCTGCAAATATAATCCTACTTTGATGTAATATTTATTAAGAATTGTGATTATGCTAATAAATATTAATACAAACTAAACTTGAACAATGAGGAAAGAAATAGTAAAAAGTGCAAGAAAAAAGAACATAGAAAAGATAATGAATGTTATAAAGAAAGATCTTCATTTATTTATAAAATTTATTGGCCGCCCATCTTATCACAGGATAATTCATCACAAGTGTAAACACATTTCATCTCTTTAAAGTTATAAATATTTATTTCCTCATCCCATGTCCCAATTTTGATCAATAGATAAATCTATAAAACATCATCTTTTCAGTCCTGGTATCAGCAGAAAGTCCATAAAGGATAGCCACAAGTAACAACATACTTTGTTTTAAATAAAGCATTTATTTGATAAAGTGAACCAACTCTATATTCCTTCCTTTTATTTCTGACTGTCTTAATCTTTAGTTCATTCAAATATTTTCTTTTTTTAAAAAACAAGTTTTATTAATTTTTAAAACACACAAATCATCATTATTCATTACATGTTTAAACTTTTTTTCATTGTAAATTTAACAAGTCAGATAAATTATGATTCTGTTTTAAACCATTTCCATGTAACATACAAAAACCTCTTATTCAATTTCTCTTTACTTCTCTTTACTCTTATTCAATATCATTATTATTATTTCATCTATTTCTTTCTGACTTAGTTACCATTATTCTCATTCTATATTTCTGCAAGTTTTTACTATCTCCCCCCCAAAAAAACATATACACACAACACACAAAACATAAAAAAAATCTTTTTGGAAAGTAACTTGGACCCAGGTATCTCTCTCTTCATGGACTTCAATTATATTCATGCTCATCTTACATATCATTACTTATTTTATTTACCATTCTAAGTCTTCTATATTAACTTCTCCACATATTTCACTCTTCTTAATTCTATCTTAATTAATCATCTTAGTTTGAATCATTTTATTTGTATCTTTTGTCCATTCTTTATCATCCCTTTGTCTCATTCCTTATAAAAAAAAAGAAAAGAAGTTTCTCCTGAAATCATTAATCAGAGTATGATGCCTTTCTATCTCCCCCCTAAATTAATCAAATTAACCTTTAAAATAACATCCAATACCCAGTCCGATTTTGCTTGGTACATTCTATCTAACTAGTACATCCAGAATAATTAAATACATAATTAGGCAATAAATCCAGATATTAAAAACAAATACTATAATAAAAATTTTATAATAACATCAATACTATAATCTTATTAAACTCTTTAATTAAAACAGTATTCTAAACCTCCCTTATTATTAAATTTTAAAACCAACCATTATTAAACATTTTAACATTTTAATCTCTTATCAACTCTTAAACCATTACAATACTACCATCTCATCTTATGTACCTTGCAAAATCTTTTTGAAGAAATTATACTTTATCCATTATCCCTAAAAAAAAATTCCTTATTTCCATTTAATTTCAAAACATTGTAGCTTTTCTCCACCTTTTCCCTTTCTTTCTTCTCCCAACAAACCTTTCTACCCCCACTTCTTCTAGCCTCTGCCTTACTGGCTTCCCTTCTCTGTCGTGTTCCTTTTCCCTTTTGTTTACTATCATCATATTGATTTTGCACCTTATTTTTCCCTTTCTTAAATGTTTTTTTAGATCTTAAGTCCTTTAGTTCTCTTCTTTTCTCTCTTCCTTCTTTCTTGATCAAATTCTGAGATTCATTAAAGATGGCTTCTTCCTTTCTTTCTTGTTCCTCTGCTGTCTTCATCTGTTGTAATGTTTGTTGATAGTTAGTAAGCGCCATTTCTAAAAAAAGGAAAGCTTCTTCCACACCATCTTTACCATTTTTTTTTGCTTGCTCATATTCTTTTCTCAGTTCCTCAACAGAGAAAGCCATTATAAATCTTTTCTTTTCTTTTCCCCTTCTTTCTTCTTACAACAACCAGAATATTCCAAAGAAAATAAAAAAAATAAAGCAGTCCCAAAGTTATCAGTCAGTCCAAACCAAGGCAGAGTTCTCACTTTCTCCTTCTGGGGTAATATCAATCAAAGAGAAAGAAAGTCCAATTCTGTTTAAAATCTTATTACAATATATTCTAGTCTTCAAATCCTTAAGGCATCTCCTCCAACAAAGTCTTAGCATACAAATATTTTCTTTTTAATCCTCTCTCTTCCCACTCATCGCTTAAAACCACTTTTCACCTAAAAAAAATAGGTTTCTTAATATCCAGTTATTTATTCCGTAGGAAAAGAGGGTAAGCTATCCTTTCAGCACCATCAAACTGCCGCTTTTTTCCTCTTCTGGCAGGTATTATTCAGAAAGTCATACTTTTCAGGAATTTTATTAAATATGTCTTAGAGTCCTAGGAGCCAAGAAAAACTTTCTCCTTTCAAGCACTTTCTCCACTTCCTCCTGCGCATTCTTACCCGGCTGCCAGCTTCTTTGTGGCGGCCATTACGGACCGCCGCTGCACCGTCCTGGGAAAAGGGGGTTCTACCGGTCGGGGAGGGGGTCTGCAACACCCCCAAACCCCTCTCCGGATCCCCCCTACCTTCAGCTGCCCCTGCAGGGCAGCCTAGCTCCGTACCCGTCTGGGTCGGAGCCCCAAAAACGGCTAGCGCGGCAGGGATCGCGCAGCTTCGCAAATCCCTGCCGCTCGCGAAGCCGACAAACCGGAAGTCCCAAATATTTTCTTGAGATTTGTTTTCTCTTCTTCTTTGTCTCATCTCACAAAATTTTTCAAGACTTAACAACTCTTTTTTGTAAATTAAATAGGAAAAAAATTACTGGGATCACTCTCTTGATTTGTCATTTGTATTTCTTTTTTAAATTTTAATTTTTCACTCAGTTTCATTTACAGAGCCAATCAAACATCCTTTTATAAATTTTTCTCTTGGCCTGGAAGTTGTAAATCCACTTTCAATACCATCTCTATCTTATCAGATAAAATTTATTCTACATCTGAGTATGCTTCAGTAACATCTTTTGGTCATAGTCTGTCCATAGAAGCAGCCATCATTGTTGATAGCATGGATATTGTAGCTACTATTTTCTGATTCCATTCTTCAGAAGTCTCTCCTTCAGTATTTTTATTGTCATAATGTTTTGTATATTACAGTCTTATATATCTTTATCTAAAATCTTTAGTCCCCTCTGCGATCCAATTTTTCAAAGCACAACATTGCTTATCTATGTTATGTCTCCTAAAACAAAAACAGGATCTATTTCCCATGACAATTTTTTTGTTTTATAATTAATTCCAAAATCTTATTGTAAAAGTTTCAACATTCCAAATTTATCTGGACCTTTAGTCCACTGAAAGCTTCTAAGATCAATTTTTTTAGTTTTCATTTTTATTTCAGATTCTTTTAATTAATTAAATTTATAATTAACTTTTTCATTGAGAATTCAGATTCACAGAAGGAATTTTAAACATGTCATTCCGAAGATCTTTTAATAGCTTAGAAGTAATTACTGTACGATTTCCAGAAGTGATTAGAAAATTAGGTTTGCAAATTTAGTATCCTTTAAAAGTCTCTGCTGCTGTTATAAGCAAGATGGCTAATCCTATTCTTGGCTCTGCTTTCACATAGCCATCTTAAGTTCACCATAGTTTCCATGGAAATCACCCAAATATATTCCTACTTTCTGAGAATTTCTACTTCATTTATTATATAAGCTATTTGATATCTTGTCCTATTAAAAATCAATAACATTAGTAATTTATAAAATCATTTTAGTTTCCAACTGTAGTTGCATCTATCATCTATATTCAAAGGATGGATATGATAATTTGAATAGTTTTAACGTAGGATCAAAGTTCTATATACTATACAGGAAGTGATTAAGTATTTTAATTGTTCCAAATTAATAATAACTTCCCAAATAGATTTATTTTGTAGAAAATAAAATGAGTAAAATAGCGACAAACACAAGAAACCAATGGGTTCGCATAACATTAACTCCAAACAAGTCCCATGGTACCTTTCCATGATGTGACTTTTTCTAATGTAATGCTTTAATATTTCCCTATTATATTCTTTCTCTTTCAGTAAAATGGATCTTGCCTTCAGTCAAATTGCTAGACTATTTTTTTCTAGATTATTAAAGTTAGTAAATAAATGTCATATTTTAGTGAAAAAAATGTTTGCTTTTAAATGGAAATACATTAAGAAAAGCTTTTTAAGTTTAGTTTTTCTTCCTTTAAGGCATTGAAAGTACGGCAAGTAGACATTACTCGGGAAACAGTACAGAAAAGTGTATGTGTTCTAAGTCAGCTGGTAAGAGATAAGATAACATATGATGCTTTGTTTTTGGATGTTTATATTAGATATGAATAATTGCATGAACTGAAATCTGAATCAAAGTTATCCTTTCCAGAGGATTTGTTTGATAGAGAAAAATACTCTGTATAAACAGTTAAATAAGAGCAACCCAACTGGATATGCCCATATTTTTCAACATAGCATATTGTGATGTAGGGTACAAAAAATTATTGAAGCTTATACTGTTAAAGTCTTTTTCCAGCTTTAAGTTCCACTCATGTGAAACTAAATTTAGAAAATGACATTCAATTCCTGCTCCAGTTTTAAGAGAAAGAAGACTATGATTCCTTACATGATTTAGATCTAAATACTTGTCTTCCTAGTCTTGTCTCCCAGTTTGTTAATCTGTTACAACACCAGTTTTTAATGAAATAGAATGAGATATTTTGCCCATATTTTACTGTATTAGTATCTAATGTTTTGAATAAAAGCATATTCATAAAAAAACACAGATGTATGCACAATTAAACCCAGTGTTGCTTTGAAAGCCACATATCCCAAAAGTGCTTTTTCAAGAGGCAACTGGACTTTCTGTTTTTTTCTTTTGTTTCTCATCCAAGAAGCTTCTTCAACTCTGACTGGATGTGGGGAATGGAAGGATTTATACTCCTTGCAGACATCTGGCCATTTGCATTCTTTTCGTGAGTCGTTAAAATCACTTGGAGGTTTATCTGTGTCATCAGGATGTGTGGAGTCTTCTTGGAACTGTTGAAATGACTGTGTTGTAGATTGGAGACAGATGATGTTTTATCCGTCCTTCTCCCTCCCCCTCTGTTGAGAGAAGGCTGTTCAATTTTGATACAGATGGCCTCTTTGACCCTTCTCTCAAACTACAGGTCCTCCCTGTCCAATATTGGGTCATAGAGGCCATCTATATCAAAATTGAACAGCCTTCTCTCAACAGAGGGGAAGGGATACAACATCATCTGCCTCCAATCTACAACACAGTCATTTCAGCAGTTCCAAGAAGGCTCCATACCCATTGCCACTGGTGACCCTGATGACACTGATAAACCTCCAGGTGATCTTAACTACGCGCTAAAAGAATGCAAATGACAGTCTGCAAGGAGTATAAATCCTTCCATTCCCCACCATCCAGTCAGAACTGAAGAAGCTTCTTGGATGAGAAGCGAAACATCTTCAAAGAAAAAAGCCCAGAAAATCCAGTTGCCTCTTGAAAAGCATCCTTGGGGCAACCATGACCTGGATGACTGAGAGTCTCCATAGAAAATGAAATCCAGATCTTACTGTATAGAATAACTGACCATTCCAATTCATATTCATAAATTAGCTGCAACTGTATATGATATATGGCTTGAAGAATATGCAGTGTATTCAGATTATTCAAATTCATCTGTTTTTAATGACTAGATTGTGTTATTACTACATTGTTTGGCTTTGTTGATATAACATGATGCTCTGTTTCTTGCAAGCCTCTATATGGGCTACTTCAAGCTAAGTTGCAGCTAATTACGCATGCCTACTTTGAAGAGAAAGACTTCTCACAAATTTCAATTCTTAAGGTATGTTTTAAATATACAAAAGTAAGAGAGGGAGGGAGAGGGAGGGAGGGGAGGGAGAGAGAGGGAAAAAGTGAGAGCACATTCAGTAACATTAAAAGTGGAATGGAGAACCCATTGCTGATAGAAGAGTCCATGATCAGAGTCCATGATCAGAATAGAATGGAAGATTCTGCTTAATGATATTCTTTGCAACACAGATAGTCCCCATCTAATGACTAGTTGTTCAATGATAAGTAGCACTGATGAGTGCTGGTTAATGTCTGGTCCCCAAAGTTATGATCATTGCAGTGCCTCCAGTTACATGATCAATATTTGGATGCTTGGCAGCCCATCTGCACTTATGACCACAGGGACTTTTCAACTATTTGTTTGTTTGTTTGTTTGTTTATATTTATATTTTTATTTTTATTTATTTTGATTTGTCAATCACTTACAAGATAATAGGTATAAGTATATGCATAGTTATGAATACATGAAATGAGTACATATAAGAAAAATAAAAGAAACAATAGGACAGGGACGGTAGGCACTTTGGTGCGCTTATGCACGCCCCCTACAGACCTCTTAGGAAAGGGGTGAGGTCAATAGTAGACAGTCTAAAGTTAACGTTTTTGGGGTTTGGGGAAGAAACCACAGAGTCAGGTAGAATATTCCAGACATTGACCACTCTGTTGCTGAAGTTGTATTTCCTGCAATCAAGTTTGGTGTGGTTAACCTTGAGTTTGTATCTATTGTTTGTTCTTGTGTTGTTATGGTTGAAGCTGAAGTATTCATTGAAAGGTAAGTCATTGCAATGTATGATTTTATATACCATACTTAGATCAGACCGAAGATGGCGTAATTCAAGGTTTTCTAGGTCTAGAATTTCAAGTCTGGTGGCATAAGGTATTCTGCAATGAGTAGAGGAGTGGAGAACTCTTCTTGTGAAATATTTCTGGACTTTCTCAACTGTGCTAATATCAGATACGTAATGTGGGTTCCAGACTGATGAGCTGTATTCGAGTATCTTGCCTATCTTTCCCTCATCTTTGCTCTTTAGGCCACCTGCAAGACTGCTGGTCTTGGCGCCCTGTGCTCTGCTGGCCCTGATTTTTGTCAGAGCTTTAAAAAATCTGTTTTGGAAGTTCGTATCCTTGTCCAAATTGCATGCAGCCCTTGTCTAATTTGAAAAGATTGCAAGAAGGTCACAGGTTTAAGAAGGCCTAGTGCAAGAGCAGCTGCCTTGCACAGGGCCAAGCTGGGTGTGCCTCAAACAGCAGTAGCAGAAGGAAGAAGATGCAAATGTCACCTGGGGGTGGCAGGGCTCACATAGCCTTGTAACATTCAGGCCTGCTGAATGTTAGTTTCCTCTTACCTGTTATTTACAAAGAGAAACTTGATCCAACCAGGTGTCCATTGTTAGTAAGCTAGAAGGCAGTTTCTAGCAAGACTCTGACAGCCAGTTTTGTATACTTTCTGAAAGAATATTCTATTTAAAAGCTATTGAAACTATTGCTAAGGGATGTTTTTGAAAGCTACATGCACACATTATTTGCAGAATAGCATACTGTATACAAAATCTTTGCAAAATTCCATTAAAGCAGTTTTGGACCCCAGGATTCTAAAGGTTGAATAACTATATCTTTTTTTGAGAGACTCAAAAAAGTTAGCTCTCTTAGAAAAACTATTTTGGTATATTTTTCTTATAGAAAGTAGACCTATTCCTTTTCCCTCTAAAGTTACTTTTAAAAAAAGGATGCTTATGCTTTCAATATTTTATTGTTTTTCAGGAACTTTATGAACACATGAATAGCTCACTGGGAGGGGGCTCACTGGAATGGTCACAAGTTTATCTCGGTAAGGTAACATAACGCTTCCAATTTTTATAAGTATTTTATAACATATAAAGCTTAATGCCAATCCTGTAAGTCTGAAAAAAATTACCAGTTATTTTGATTTTCTTTCCCATTTGTCAAGCACCTGTGTATCATGATTTGTGTGTCATGTATCATAAAAATATTAGGTGTTATGTTCAACTTCTTTTTTTGCATTTCAATTTCTTTCTGAGGAATTTCTTACAAAATAGTTTTTAGAAACCACAACCACAATATTAAACATGTGTTATTGAAACAGATCATTCAAACTTCCTTCCTTTTTTCTCTTGGAGGATTTGATATGAGGATTTAAAATCCATAAAAGTTAAAAAAAAAAAGTCCAAGAACTAGACTTTTTTTCAATATAACTTTATCCTATTCTTCCTGCTTTAATTCATACTGTCAGCAAACTTCTCTAATGTACAGTATCCAAATAAATATACAGTATATGACAAAAGTTATTGCACCAGGTTTACACAAATGAAAATATAAATGACCAACACAGTCACATCTTGTCTAAAATATTCATTATATTAAGTAAATAATATAATGCTCAGTGATGAGAAATAGTATTGTCAGTTGATATTTCCTTCAAAAACTTGCCCGATGTTTTAAAGCAATAGTAGACAAAGAAGACACACAATGCAATAAAAATACTTTTTTTCTTATTGGTGGTAGAAATTCAGGATGCTTCTCATGGTAAAATGAATAATGAGGCAGATCTGCACTCTAGCTGCTTATAAAGACTTTACATTCACCTATCTGACTGCAGAGTTAGAAATTTTAGGCTGTGAAAATTTGATGTTTTATATGAAGAGATATTATCTAAATAACAGTTCACAATATTGCATTTCTACCACTCCAAAAAATGAATTCATATGTATAGTAAATGGAAACAGGTAAGACTCTTAGAAGATTTCAAAGTGTTAGTTGCTTTTATTAAAATGTACCATTTTCCTCTCCATTGTTTTTAGGCCTGTCCCCACGAGATCTTGTTCTTCAATTTAGACACAAGGTATGTTATAAAATTGAAATGTGCATAACTATTTCCACTTTTTTTGAAACTTAAAAAAACAATATGTAGTTACAGATATAAGTAAATAAAAGAAGAATTTTCTGGATCTATATTGTACATTGACATGACATTTGAATACTTTAAGCATAGGGTCATTTATAAATACATTGCTGGACTATTAAAGTTTTAAGATTTCTCTTTCTTTATGTTTTAAAGGTTTTAATTCTTTTTAAGTTGATTCTTCTAGAAAAAAAGGTAAGATTATTCTCATATTTCCTAAAAGGCAAAATATATGACTTCATTAACATTATTTCATTAATACTTATGGAGATGCATTATTCCTTTATGCAGTTAACCAGGATGGAGAAGTGCTTATTTTCCCACGAGCTGCTCAGAGCATCCAGTAGTGGGAGGTGCTTCAGTCTCTGCTTATCTAGGCTGGGCTTAATTTGCAGAACACTCCTCCTCCTCCATGGGACTCCTCCCTAGCGTTCCCCAGTTTTGGCTCAGCCTTGTGTGAGATAGGCAGTGCTTCTTGTTAATCCTTGGCCGAAACAGGAGAATTCTCTTTAAGGTTTGCAGATAGTCAATTGTTCTTTCCTTACCAACGCTGCCCTTGCCATCTGGCCGTTGGGGATCGCATTACCAGGAAGCGCTCCTAAGCGCAGGGAGGCTTCGATTTCATTTCGCCCCCACCAACCGCTAGCCCTACCTTTGCCATTACGATCGCCGAGCTGCTTTATCATTTAAACGGTGAGGCTTTTTTTCTCACGCTCTCTTCTGAGTCATATCGCAGTTTCTCCTTTCCCCCAAGAACGCCGTTTAGGGGTGGAGGTGTAATTGCCTCGTTATTTCACCCCTCCCTGCAGGTTTAGCCCTAAGGGAAGGCTGTTGGAGCTTATCTCTTTTTCTTGGCGGGAGATTGCTGCTAGCATGCGCGCCACAAATAACGTCCGGTCGCCATTTTTTTTTTCTGTCAAGGGACCGCGTGGCCGTGTTGAATGCTAATTCAATAGACTGTGTGAGGTAATCCTTATTCCGGATTGAAGGTTTTTTTCACACAAAATACCCCAAGGAATCATTACAACCTCGTTTTCAACATATTCGAGGCTTTTGTTAATTTGTGTTGTTGGCTCAACCCTCACAGTTCTCCCTATCCAGCGGCACAACAGAGAGCACCTAGGCCAGCGTCCGCCTGTGCAGGGAAGCTGTTGAAGGCCTGAGAGTGATTATTTGGCCTGCTAGGCGTTCTCAATTTGGCTGATTAGGACATCCAAATTTGATATATATTTGCACCCATACACTCTGATAATATTAATCACACCAATATAATAATACTGGCAATTTCATAACAATAATACATTAATTGTTGAGATACGACTCAATTTTGAAGCAGATATCCATATTTTAAAAAAAACTTTTAAAAAACGGGGGATTTGATTTCAGGGCACCTTGTCTATTCTTGGCCAGGTCCCTGGGCGCGCCAACCACCTACACAATATAGCATTAAATAATGAGCATACTGGTCCTTTTATAATCACAATGCAGGGGGTAGTGGTTCACCCTCCTCAACTTCAAGGGACAAATCCAAATCTCAACACAATCCTAAGCAAAAAAAAAAAAAAAAAGGACACCTACAGAAAAGGATGCCAACAGGCGCCACAAGGCTCTGGAAAAACAAATAGATAAGTGCACACAGGAGGCACACAGGACCTCTCAAGCCTTCTCACCCCACAGTCCAGAGCCGTCCTCCTCTTTCCTCCCTCCTACCCCCCTAGATCTCTCCCTCTCATCCAGGCGCAGCGTGGCTCCCCTGAGTCAACAGGCCCAGTCAGCTCAATCACCAACCATGCGAAGAATACCTGAAGCGATGTTCACACCAATGGCTGCCGGTCTTCGACAGGAACAATCTCTTCCAGAGGATGTGCCAGAGTGAATGAAGACCTGGATGGAGATGACGATCTGTCAGGGAATCGCAGCAGGCCTGCAACATGCGGTTCTGACCAGGGATCATCCCACACCTGCTGAGTATGATTCGCAATCAGTTTGGTCATTGGCCAAGTCGGAGCTACACTATACCCAGGTACAGTGTCAAGGGGGTATGCTCCTACAGGAGCCGCAGGAGAGCAGGAGGAGGAGGCGGAAGAGGTGGAACACATTGAACACATGGACCAGAGTGAATCAGAATCAATGCATGATACTGACCTGGCCATGTCGGAAACAGACCCCTTAGAAAGGGGGATGTCTGAGGATGAGGGCCTCGTTCCCGACCAACCGGTATTTAAAGGCTTGTTCCAGCCACAACTTTCCAAATCTCTATTATTCAAGGCCAAAAATACTGTGCGGCTGGACAAGCCAGCCCCTTCTACCACTCCAACTCCATCAGACGAAGGACCAGAGGATCTCATTTTCACCCAACCTGTAGTTGAGGCAGACGTGATTCCAGTCCTTCACATGTCTGCAGACCTGGTACAGAAACAGTGGGCTTCTGCAGTAGTGTTCCCGGCCCCCACTGGTTACAACAGGAAATTCTTTAATTTGGCCCCAGATTTCTTAAAATTGTTGAATACTCCTGAGGTAGATGTACCCATTGTGGGATGAGCGTCCTTGTCCTCCATTCCCAGTGAGGCGCTGGAGGCATTAAAGCCGGAGGACAAACTGGCCAAGCTAGCCCTACGCAGGGCCCATCAGTCTGATGCGTGGACCATCAGAGCGGCCACAGCCGCTTCCTTCTTTACCCGTTCTTCCCTCAGATGGCTCCGGCTATTACGGGAGCATGTCCCCAATTCCAACACTAGAGCACACCAAGACATTGCAAAGCTTATAGCAGCCGCCGAATTCTCAGCTGACGCAACCTTTCATGCAGTTAAGTTTTCAGCCAGAGCCATCACTTCACATGTCACAGCGCGACGCTTGCTATGGTTAAAGAACTGGCAAGCGGATATTAAACATAAATGCAAGCTCGCTTCATCTCCTCTAGGGGGAGACAGACTGTTTGGCCCTTCCCTCGATCCGCTACTCATCGAGACTCAAAATAAAAAGAAAATTTTACCCTCCCTTTTTCGGAGGTCAGACCCTAGAGACCCTCAGTCCTTTTGGAGGGGATCCTTTCGGCCCTTTTATCAGGGACTGTTCTCAACCAGATGCCAGAGATCCCCACATTTCCGAACAGGGCAACAGCCAGAAAGGTCAGACTTTGGGGATAGGAATAGAAGGGGTGGCCAACCCAAGAAATCCTTCCGAGGAGCGGGAAATAGATTTTTCCGGCGTCCAAGATAACCCCATGGACCCGCCTCCCATTGGCGGCCACCTTAAATTATTCGCGGACCAATGGGACTCCCCAACATCTGATTCCTGGGTCAGAGACATGATCAGATTCGGCCTCACGCTGGAGTTTCAATCCGCTCCCCCAGACTTCTTTATGTCGTGCCCTCTTTCCAGAGATCCGGTTAAACGAGGTCTTATGGAAACAGCTATTCAGCACCTACTGGACATACGAGCCATCCAACCAGTAGTACCGACTAACGAGGGCGAGGTTTTCTATTCACATCTTTTCATTGTTCCCAAAAGTTCAGGGGGGTGGAGAGCAATCTTGGATTTGAAATGCCTTAATCAATTTTTAGTATATCGCAAATTTAAAATGCACACCCTACAATCTATCTTACTTGGTATCAGAAAAGGTGACATCCTTACATCTATAGATCTGACGGAGGCATACTTACATATTTCAATTCGGCCTTACCACTATAAATTTTTAAGATTCTGTTATAATAATCTCCATTTTGAATAAGTGGCTCTTCCCTTCGGACTAGCCGCTGCCCCCAGGACCTTCACAAAGGTTCTTGCAGCCCTCGCTGCTCATCTCCGGGGTGTCCCCATACAACTGCAGTGTTACCTCGATATCTTAATTCTGTCATCTTCTGTTCATCAATCAGTCATAGATACTCAGACCACATTACACTCCCTACAACTACACAGGTTCTCAATCAATTGGGAAAAGAGTCATTTACACCTTCAACTCGATTAATCCATCTGGGGGCAGTCATAGATACAGTGGAAGGCAAAGTTTTCCTGTCACCAGATAGACAAAACAGCATTCATCAATTAGTTAAGGAGGTCAGGGTTCATAGGAGGGTGTCCCTAGCTGATTTATCAAAAGTTTTAGGCAAGATGATCTCATGTATATCAATTATTCCTTGGGCCCGGCTCCACACTAGATCCCTCCAGTGGTTCCTGCTCCCGTACCAGCGATCCGGCCGAAGCAACTCCAAATACAAGGTCAAAGTTCCATCACAGGTCCTCATATCTCTCCTCTGGTGGACCAGACCAGCCATAAACAAAGGTTGCCTATTCAAAGAGCCCCACAGTCTTACCATCACCACCGATGCCAGCCTGATTGGATGGGGAGCTCACTTTCAATCGCTCACAGCCCAAGGCTGCTGGTCCTCCATAGAACGATCGCGCAGCATAAACTGGCTGGAGCTTTGAGCAGCACACCTGGCTCTCCGCAGCTTCCTTCCACAGGTACGCAACCAACACATATTAATATTGACCGACAACGTAACCGCGAAAGCTCACATAAACAGGGGGACTCAGTCGAAACACCTCATGCGAGAAGCGGAGCGTTTGTGTCGTTGGGCAGAGAGCAACCTGATTTCCATCAGAGCAGAACACATTTCAGGACTGTCGAATACACAGGCAGATTGGCTAAGCAGGGCCACGATAGATCCATCGGAGTGGCGCCTCCATCCGACCCCCTTTCAAGAGGCGGTCAGGACATTTGGGCAGCCAGTAGTAGACCTGTTCGCTTCCCCACTCAACACTCAGCTCCTGCGATTTCTTTCCAGATACCCCTCACAAAGAGTGGAGAATTTCAATGCGCTCCATTGCCGTTGGCCCCTGAGGCTTCTGTACGCATTCCCGCCACTTCCACTGATCCCCAAGGTCATCCAGAAGCTGCTCGACGAGAGGGCGAAACTGCTTCTGGTAGCTCCCTAATCTATCTGTATCACCACCATGGAGAATTCTGCCAGACAGGGTCTTGTTAACCCAAGGACCCCTTCAACCTTCGGACCCTCAATGGTTGCACCTGACCATCTGGAAGTTGAGCGGAATCGTCTGAAGAGCGAAAAGTTTTCCAACATCGCCACCATCCAAGCTGCCAGACGCCCCTCAACAACTCGCACCTACAATGCCACGTGGTCCAGTTCTACAAATGGTGTACCAAGTCTCAAATTGATCCCATTTCTCCATCT